ATTCACAGGTACTGAAATATTATTTGTATTTAATTATAGATGTGTTTGCAAGTGTTCACAGGGTAATTAATGGTGTTCACAGTTAATTATATGTGTTTGAACTACAGAGTTAGACTTGTTAAGGTAGAGTTAGGGTTAGCGCTGCTGTTAGGGATCTGTTTAAAGTGAGGGATAGGTATAGTTTCACGTTTAAGATCACGGTTAGGGAATGTGTTATGAATAGGGTTAGTATTAGTGTGAGGGTCAGTGTTTGGGTCATGGTTAGCGATAGGATTCGTGTTAAGTTTAGGATAAGGGTCAAGAGTAGGGAGAGAGTTGGAATTAAAGGAAGGTACCTTCGTTGTAAATTCGTGCAAATAGACAGACTCTTTGGGTTCTTTTGCCGTCCGCCGTCAGATGGAAAATAAAGTCACTCCACAACCATGGTGATTTCATTCGCTTCATCATAATGGTTACCATCCTGAAAATAATACCCACAACTCAGCATAAACTGAGCGTAGGTTCCCCGCACAAGTTCTCTATTCCAGATTTATCATTATAACATAGACAGACGCTGCTCTACTGATGGCGAGTAGGCCCCCCTACCTTTGATTCGCATATATATATATATATATATATATATATATATATATATATATATATATATATAATTTCCAGATGTTCTGTCACGAATCAATGTGATGGTTAGTTTCTTTCAGAGGGCGCTCGCTGTACATCGGAACTGTTTTGCATATTTCTCGACCACTTGCCTTCCCATCCCGCGCCTTCACTCCTCCCTCCCTATAGTTATTTAGTATTAGCAGTAAGCTTACCAAAACACGGACGTCACGTAGTCGCTGGCTTTTCCTGTCGTCTGTGCGTGTAGCTTTTTGCCCATAGCCATTTCTAAAAAAAACAGCGAGCCTCGTTTATTTCGCGTACCTGATCGACTGCCTACGACAAGGCACCAGCCTAGAGCAAGTTCTCAGAAAGAAAAATTATACGCAATATTATTGTCAAGATTAACGTTTTCTCTCATACTGTTGACAGAAATATCGTAAAGAGCTTGAAAAAAAGTTCTCTCGTTACGAGAATGAAAGAAAGCCTTGCAAATTTCTCATACGTTTACGAAACAAAATTTTAAATTCTGACACGACGGTCTATGAGGAAAAGTTCATAACAAGATTAGTGTCTGGATCCACTAAGTTTCTGGAAAAACAGGCTCCACAGCGTACAGTGTACCATTACACTAGCTATCACTCTTTATCGAAAAGCCTTACGAAAAAAAATGTCAACCGTAATTTTTCCTGGTGGTTTGGACCTTGCGACTCTAATAACATTCCAGTAAAAGGTCAGGGAAAACTCTGGTGTCCGGACAATTGAATCCGATCTCGCGTGTTGTAACGACCACACCTATAGGAGTTATTTAATAAGAGTGAAGTTTTATGAGTGTGTTTTACCGCCAATCACGTCCAGGCCGTAGACAGACATGTACGTGGCGAAATCAAACACGGTTTTCCCATCGGCTTTCTCTTCCAATAGCGAACACAAGATGGCGCTCTGTTCGCTGATTATTGGCGCGCTGTCGTTCAGGATTTTGAAATGGAAAGGCAGGCGTCAGAAAGTCGCCGACGTTTGAACCATTTTTCTCCCGAGCTGGGAATGTGATAAATACATACTATGTGACGAATACGAGCATAATACTATACTCAGATATAGGGGGGTAGCGTCCATGTTTTGTGCGGGTCAGTACTTTGTAGTTGTTTAACAAACTGTTTGTTTCTTAATATTATAATTTTCTAGTTTGTTTGAATCGACAAATTAGTGCCAAAGCATAAATTTGAATAAGATGTGACCTCTAGGTGGCACCACCGATTCAATAGACGTTGGCCACTGTACATTAATACTGTACATGAATTTGTGCGACGCAAAATATGATTCGAAAGAAAAAGAGAAAACGAAAGGCGGAGAACGCGGGATGAGAGACAGAGAGTGAGAGACAGAGAGAGAGAGAGAGAGGAGAGAGAGAGAGAGAAATAGAGAGAGAGAGAGAGAGAGAGAGGGAGAAAGAAAAAAGAGATAACGAAAGAAAGAGAGAGGGAGAGGGAGAAAGAAATAAAAAGAGAAAGAGAAAGAGAGAGGGAGAGATATAGAGAAAGAGAAAAAGAGAGAGAGAGAGAGAGAGAGAGAGAGAGCGGAAGAAAAAGAGCGAAAGAGAGACAGAATTGGAAACAGGATACTGAGAATGAGAGAGAGGTTTGGAAGCCAAATTGTCGCGCTATTCTCACGTAGGCGTACCTGGTGATTAGACCCTCGCATAACCAAGGCCGTATAAAGTCATAGTCTTTAGATTTCTCTATATGCTTGTTGTTCTTCAGAATTACCTATCGATAGACAACGACTGTCATTAACGGCAACTATCGACGTACACGAAAAACATCACCGACACATAGCCTCATTACTCCGATCTCAGACGCCTTAGCGCGACCCCCTCCCCCAACAAACACATATAATAATTAAC